GAACAATAAGCAAAACTAAGTTGAAAAAGGAAACATACGTGTGTAGCGCCTCGTAAATAAATGGGTTTTTTTCTGCTTCCTATATGCGGCAACTCTCTATAATGTTGTCTGTCTTAAGATCGTATTTTATGGTGCTATATCTCTGTCCTCCTTATTCACAGTAAACACCAACAGAAAATTGTGTTGGATGAGCTATACTATTTTGAGCCAATTTGTATCTGTGGAACTTTTAATCATAAACTTCTACAACATAGGCCTATGTTTCATTCACCTACTCTAAAAACATATCACTATTGAGCAAAACTGAAATTTTTGATGACAGATGTGACAGAATTGCAGCAACGCTTGATAACCAGGCCACTTAGGATCAATATGTAAATTGAAGTCAAAGCAACACAGTAATAGTACATCATAATAATAACATGCAGAACACTGTCATACAACACCGACCAACTGTCACAACGTTCCTGCTAAGTATAGTATTCTGAAATATTCTTTCATGGAATTAAACAGTAATAACATTTTCATTGCATGCAATTGAAAATAGATATTTTTCAGAATGGTAATTGTGGACTTCTCAAATAATATTTGTGCTATATAATTACAGACACAGTAAAACATATAAATCATAATCATCTTTAATATATGTATGAAAATAGTTGAGATATGTTTGACATTATTTGCTGTACTTACGAATAACAGTTCGTACATATCAGCAAAACATATAATAAACTGAAATGTGAAAACGATGTTTTTCAGTATTATACATGTAGGCCCTGTATCAAAATCCTTGTTGATCAAACCGTTTCGAATATTATTGTGTGATACTTAAACGGCAATCTGTAAACATTATTGATACTTCCGTAGACCCAAACGTCGATGGAATATTAGAAAGTTTGACATATTTTATATTTGCTCAACGCCCCTTAACTGTAAAATGAGAAAGATTCCAAAACATCAAAACATATCAGAAACGAAACGACTATGTTAACATGACTTCTGAGATCAACATACTTCGTTTATCTCATTTTATAAATGAGTCTCATACATCCATTTATGTTATAAATAAGAATTTATGATGTTCATTTAACTTATGGAAGTGTCAGCGGTTCAGCTAGCTCAAACACCCATGAGTAATGTGAGAACGTTAAAAAAAATTCGTATAATATTTGTGTGATAATTTATCGTTTTAGCTACAGTTTTACAAGTACATTGTGTGAACATCCTGTCGCGTTCCCTAAATATCAAGTCGATGGTAGCATGGACTTTACAAGTGTCTATGGGATGTGATATTTGGGGTCAACAATTTATTGAGAGGTGGACCGTGGGTTTGGGTGACAGTTAAACTGGATAATTGGTGAAAGAAATCACATCCACTTCAACACCTTTTTAAAATAACCATGTGGTGGTTTCGTCTTTTCAAAGATTTAAAAATTGTTTTAAGAATTTTATTATCACCACATCATATCGTCATAACAGCTTTAAATATCTTTAGCACTGCTATAAAACACGTGAAGATAATATTCTCACTACATTGGGGTACAAATTTGATGACTTCTAAATAATGTCATGAACATATAACTTTAGCAAATATTTTTTTGCGATAAAACCTGTTTCAAATATTTCACAATAACAATTAGAGAACATTTAACATGCCATTGATTAACATCAAATTTGGGGCATTTGAATAATGTTATCACAACGTTTTTTTATTTTGTTTAATAATTGTATGCTGTAATAAAATGTAATTTCCAAATGTTTTAGTCACAACATTGGTGCGACCTTCAAATAATGTTGTCGCAGCATCGTATGCTCGCTGGGTTGTCTAATACTGGCAACTTGTCAACAGTCCACACTTTGGGTGTGTCAATTATCTCTTCTCCTTCCAGGTCTTTCACTGTCAGGCTTACTTCGGCACCAGCTGTGCTCATTGTTGACAGTTGTCAGGCTGATTTTCTTTCCACGCTTTTGAAGTTAAGTTGTTCCAGCAACCTTCTGCCACAGAGCGATGTATCACTCCCACTGTCTAAAAGTGCCCATGTCTGAACTTCCTTTACCCTTCCCTTCACTGTGACCAGAACAACTCTTATAGGCACACCCTCTTTGTAGAAGCTGTAGTAACGTTGCATTGACGTTTTCACTTTGATTGCCGTTTGGCTTACTTGTAGCGTGACTCTTATGCTTGTCCCGGCCCTGTTTGCAGAACCGGGATTGGACGTCTTGGCACCTTCTTCCTTTGAGCCTTTGTTGTCTCTGTGCGGAGGATGTAACAGCGATTGGTGTTTCCATGTACAGCCCTTGACATTACATGTTGGTTTCAGCATGCACCCTTTAGCCATGTGTGTGGTCGGTAGCAGTTGTCAACTAAGTTGTTGCTTCGAACAAACTTCGGCCTATTGTCATAAGACCTTTGCCGAAATTCTTTGCATTCCTTCAATGTGTGTGATTGAGAACAGCAATGACACAGTGGCACATATACAGTAGTTCCCTCGTTGAGGATGACTCGACTCATTTGCTTTTTCAACAGCGTCAAAACCTTGTGTGGCAAGAGTGGTCACCTTTGCTGGCTTGCCTCAAGCTTGGTTGTGGCATCTTGTCTGCTCGAACATTTTCTCCAATGTTCTGGCCATATACATCTTACTTGCTGTCTTTGATTTCTGTTCGATGAAGTCGGTCATGTGTGAGAACTTTGGCTTGACAGAACCTTAATTGAATCATGATCTGAATTCTTTTATTGAGCCCAAAGACTGAAGGTGTATAAGCAACAACCGCTGTACCTTGAGGAGGTTGTCAGAACTGCTCCTATATATCTGTTGAGTATCCAATCTGTGACAGCCGAGGGCTGGCCTAACTTGACATTTTCTCATCTGACGGGCAAGCTCACACAATGCAGCTCCCTCATTTGGCCTGATTGGTTGTCCATCTGTGACTTTACGGATCAAGGAGTGAGTGATGATGTGTGGCTGACCAAACTGGTCACGAAGAATTTCCCTAAATAATTTGTATCCAGCACTCTCCTCCATCAACAGGCAATTCTCAATACTGTCCCTAGCTTTTCCCTTGCAGAACTGAATATGGTAAGTGAGCCTTACCCTGTCTTCTTGAACCTGGCTAGCAATGTTCACATCAAAATTGTGAATGAATCTGGAGAGTAGTTTGCAGGATCATTACTGAAGGAGAGCAGAGCTGGCTTAGATGACCAAAGTCATGGCATGGACCAACTGTGCAAGACTTGTCAAATCGGCTTTAGCATTGCTCTTTGTGGCGTAACTGTTGGTAGATGGAGGGGCATCATATACTGGAGAAGATTCCGGCTCAGAAACTCCCACAGCAGTAGCTGGATCCTGCTCTGGTAACTCTTTCACAGCTTGTTCCTCCGTGCAACCTTCTTCCTCCCTAACTTCATTCTCACAAAACTGCAGTTGCTGCTCGGCTTGCTGTAACTGATATCAGCCTTCATCTAGCTGCTTCAGCCTTTGCTCAAGTCTCAGGCTTTCCTGTGCCAACGTTTGCCTTGAGACGGTGCGAGCATCTGCTTGGCCTTGGCCTCTTTCCATATGGAAACTGAACTCACACTGCCCCTTGAGCTGGCCCTAAATCGGCTTCTCTAACTGCACCCATGTTATCAACATGTACATCTAACTTAGTAACAATTATAAGAAATCCCATGAATCATTGACCAATGGAAAATAAATACAGCTACGCATCTTGCTCATAAATGTTTCGTGGTATAATGTGCAACTTGTCTCGAGTTATCCAACCATAATATGCACAAAACCCTTCGCGAAACTAGGTTACTGAATATACCCAAAATCCTCTAGATTTGTCATAAGTTTCCACCTTAAACAAATCTACAAACTTACGGATTGTGTTGAATCAAATGTGACAAAAAATGGGACCTTTAAACTTTGTTAATTTTTACATTGTTTGAGGGGCAAATTAAGGTACGTGAGAAATACTTTGCGGATCATCAGAATCATGAGGAATTTTCACCTTTGACCTAAAAGTCTGTGCATCATCAGAGGGCGCCCTAACATATTACTGGTGAAATATCCTGTTGATTAAATAACTTTCAATCGCGACGTTCATGCATCAGTAAAAATGTGATGCAAACCTTAAACGAAAAACAGCAAATAACATTTTGCCGCTACTATGCCTTATAAAGGTGCTTTTGACAATGAGTGCACTTTTTAGTGCTAATAATGTTGAACCAATCATCGGCCATTGCGTGACAGAACCTGCTACCTACCTATCGAGTTAGAATCCGCCAACGCAGCTTGTGAAATTGTGTGAGCTGGCCCTCAGATTGTTTTAAGGTTTTGTCGTAATGACCTTTCCGCACTGAGTCAACGGTATGTTCCTCTCCCGACCAGTCGTAAATAGTATTTGTACATGGAGATTGGCGCGAGCGTGACGCAAAGCTAGCCTGTGGTTTATCAACTGTTTAATAGACCGACCACATGACCGGTAGGAATAGCTGAACTGTCTTATGTGTTTCTGAGTTCATGTTCAAGGCAATGGGATTCTCTAAAACCAGATTTTCGATGGGGTGCCGGAGCAATTTCTCATCAAGTTCAAGAACCCATGCTGGTGGAACAGGCATTCCATTTCTGGTCGACCAAATATGGCCCTGACTGGAACTACCAGTACCCTGCGATGCATGCCATATTTCTTTCTTGCCGGTATGCCCAAGGCAGGTACGACCGACCTCTACGCAAAATTACATGGACATCCGCAGGTGATCAAAACAACTGTAAAGGAACCACATTGGTGGACACGGCATCGCTTCCGTGGAGGTACAAGCCTTTATTATAACCTACATCCAGGATTTCCCCCCCTTTTTTTGTAAAATATCCTTCACTGAAAAATTGGGAACAACAGTTTTACATCGACTTCAGGTTGCTTCGCCAGCAATCCACATATTTTTTTTCTGCAAAGACCTTTGCGGAGTGTACTGAATTGTTAAATCAAGACCTTATGTTTTGCCCATTTTCGTGTAGTAAGCCTAAAAATGTACCTCGACAAGCAGTCCATCAACATTGCACCAAGGCTTAAAAATGGTCCGGATCCAAACATTATCATCGGTAAGTATTGCATATTCCAATGTTAACCTTAACCCTTACCCTCCTCAATCCTTCACCTGTTGGAGGACTGAGGAGTGTTAGGGTTTATCTGTTTGTCCCACTTCCGCAAAACGTATAGAGCCGTTTGTCTTTTTATTATCCTGAAATTTCAATATGCTAATTGGACAAAATTTTTCCAAGGCATTTTTGTTGGCGGCAAAGGCCATTGGAAATGTACAGCGGTGCTATTTTGATCATTTTCTCTCAGGTTTTCATGATAAGAAGAAGAATCATGGAATGTCTCAATGCGCTTATTATCATTTTTTTTTCACTTGTTCATTTTTTCTTCAGAAATCCCCATTAAATCGTTTTTGCTATTAGTTTCTAATCAAATCAGGATTTTTTTCTGTAAAAAGACACAATCGCGATTTTCCCTGTGTGCATACACGACATTAAGCGTGAAAAATCCCGCCTAGATTACAAACTATAACAAAACGATCCAATAGGATTTTTTGAGGAGAAAAAAATAAAGCCAGAAAACCAGAGAGAAAATTATCAAAATCACACCCCCTTACATTTTCAAAGTCCCTTGCCGCCAAGGCCATTTGTGGGCATGTGTGCAGAATTATGAATTTATTAGTGAAAGGTTAATTGGCATCCCTTCTTTGTCTCTTCCTCTCCCTCAACAGGAGATTCGTCGGCTTCAACCCTCTGGGATATCATAGAATGGCGGCGTCTGTCCCACGCACCGGACATACAGCCACCGCACATTCTGTCTGAAATAATTGGAACGATCCTCCCAGATGCTCGGTTTATAGTGATACTCAGAGACCCTGTTGATCGGTAAGTAAGCATGTTTGAAAAATGGAGCAGATGTTCATAGGGCTTTATATTTTTGGCTGAAGCAGAAAATTATATCTGCCAAATATGACTTTGTTAAGGCTGCATAATTTCATAAACCTGGTGCAGTAGTTAATCGGAGGAACAGAAAAAATAGGAAACTAGTTATTCGGCGAATTCTTTGGGAAAATTTTACCACACAGCTACCTCTATGGGCCAATATCAGATACCTAGAAGAACACAGGTCAGGTGCCTGTCAGTTCAGATAAGAAATACAGATTGTCTTATCTGAACCTGTTTTGCTCTGATGTGAATGTTTCAGTGTAGCGGGTCTGTGAAATAGGCTCTATACAGATGGTTATCTTTTTAGGACCTACCATTATAAAAAAGTGATGTAATGTAAAATGTAAATAACAAAAGATATAAAGTTTCCTTTTTGCCTATGTCTCTGGCCGCTAGGTTGTATTCAGACTTCAATTACTTTAATAGCTACGACTATCACAAAGGCCCATCGATTTTCCATGACTATGTCATGAAGTTCATTGCCAAGTTCCAGTCCTGCCTTAGGAAACCCTTGGATTATCGCACCTGCACTTACGCTCTTCAGAATGAAACTCGTACGGTAAGATTGTTAAATCTACTACTCCTCAGCATTGTAGTATGATACAATTATTTCTCTTTTCTTCCATATTTGTCTTGGTGCTGTTTGTGAGGATGCCCTATTACGTGTGAATACCCGCCCTCTTGAGTTACCGCTCTATTTCGTGTAATTGTGCACGCATGCGCTCAAATGGCTTTGGCGGCAAAGGCCATTGAAAATGTACAGGAGGATGTGACTTTCATCATTTCCTCAGGTTTTCTGCCTATGTTCATTTTTTCTTCAGAAAATTCCATGAAATCGTTTTTGCTATTAGTTTCTAATCTAAGCGGCATTTTAGTGCTCCGTAATGTACCGATCGTGATTTTTCCTGTGCGCACGAGATTAAGAGTGAAAAATCCCGCTTAGATTACAAACTATAGCAAAAACGATTTAATGGGATTTTCTGGGGGAATAACTGAACAAAGCCAAAAAACCTGAGAGAAAGTGATCAAAATCGCACCCCTGTACATTTTCAATGGCCCCTGCCGCCAAGGCCATTTGTGCGTATGCGTGCATAATTATGATTTATAAGTGAAAGGTCTATTACCTGCTACCAGTCCCTCAATTCGGAGGACGTCTGTAAGACGTCTGGAGACTAGACTGTGTACATGACGGGAACCAGTCTACAATCTTTTTTTGTTTTCTTCTTTTGTAAAGGGTCCGATTTACAGGTACAAGTACCCACCCGCCATTAGTAAACGAGGCTCTTAAAGCAAAATCCTATGTACTAAACAAAAACGCAGAAGTAACCACCATCGATTCCAGGAATTGACGTGAGCATAGTTGCCGCAACCAGCAGAAGGCTTTACAGACGCCTTTCCATATGCGTATCAACACCTCTGACAATCGCTCCCCGAGGCCGAACGCAACACACACAAGTGATACGTTAATGGCGTTGATTTCGTGTCTGTGAAAGTTAGTGAAACGCATGAACGCATCGTGCACGCAACGCATATTTGCCATGATATGGAAAAACGCCTTAACGCTGCAAACTTGGCCATGAAATAAATTGACCTTTCAAAATATCTTTTCAATTGGAAACAAACCTCACAAAACAGGGCAAATTCAAACTCTTTACAGCATACCCACTATTTCACGCGCGCGAGCGCGACTGGTTTTTCCCCCTCGTTCAGTATCTACGACCCAACATGTGTAAGGCCAAGGCTGTACGCTGTGCTACTGCAGCAGCTGTGCCGAACTCAAATGATCCAATGTTGTAAAGTTCGGCACGGCAATGGCACGGCGTTTAGCGCGATTCGGCTCGACAAGCCCTTTAGCTCGATAGGGTATGCCGTGCTGTGGCCCGTTTCAAACGTTTTCCTCGATTTTGTTGTATTCGACAAGGCATAACACGACGTTTTAAACGGGCGTAAGTTCGACGTTTAGCGTAACTGTCGCGTTGTTGCCGCCGTACTCTTGCCACACTCATTCGAATTGAGTTCGGCACGGCAGTGGCATAGCGTCTAGTCTTGGCCTTAACACCGCTTACGTAAATCTAAAGACCATGTTATATTACTACGTCGTGTGCCTGGAAGAAGGGCATGAGCGGTTACGCCCTTTTGCCGGGAAGCATGATCACTGCCAAAAAAAAAACTTTTTCCAGTAAAGGAGGTATTTTTGCAACTGTTTTATTTTAATGAAATATTCGAATTTTTTTGCAAAAAAATTTTAAATGTTTTTTAAGTTGTTCAAAGGTAGCTTTTTGTACTTCCAGCATGCTTCGTGATATAATACCTGCATTTTGCGGTAAATCAGGGTGTTCTGTTCAGGCCTCTGTACAGTGCGTGGTGAGAGTTGTTGCACTGCGCGGTAAGAGTTCATGCACTGAGCGATGAGAGTTGTTTGGCAGCGCAAAGAGTGTTGTTCAGCGGCGCAGTAAGGCTGAGTTGGGGTGGCTTGTTCTCGTGTGTTCACGAACAGCTCGATTGGTTGTTCGGCCGCTCGAACGCCGGGAACGTACAACCGGTTATCGGTACTAGTTATTTGTAGCTGCAAGCAACATGGCGTCGTCCTTGTGCATTCTTCGAAAGTTAATGTTTGGATAATTGGGTTAACTTCTTTTCCATTAAAAATCATTTCCGTCATGGAAAATTAGCGTTAATTTTAGAAAGTTTCCATTGTTTCCAGCTTTTAATCCATCTCGATAGTTTTTGCAGCTTTTCAAAAATCAAATTTCACGAGTTTTTCCGTGTGTTCGTGTAAAACCCTGACGAGGAGGTGGTGTGTGAACCTATTCCAAGAACAGTGTTTTTGGTTCATGTTCCCGGCGTTCGAGTGCGAGAACACGAAACTCGTGTCAAGAACAGGCCGCCCGAACTCGACCAAGGTGTTGTTAATTAGGTTGCACTACACTAATACGCGCCCATAGATAACCTCGCAAAATCCAAGAGAAATTGCGCCGTCCAGTGACGCTCAGGAAACTTATGGCGTCGTTGTTTTACTGGAAATTCCAAAAATATGACCATTGGGATAATTTTTTTTTATTCCAAGAGGTTTTTGTCTGGAATTTATATGTATATATATACAGAGGGAGAGGGGAGAAATTAAACACATAAAATACAAAAACTCAGGATAAGTTGTGATATGAACCTAAAAATTAACTTTGAATGAACTTAAACGCACTTTTGATCTTTAAATTTTTCCTTTCGTGCCTTTTTTAAATTCCGGTTTCTACTAAAAGACTACCCCAAAATAGTTTCGTTACATTTAATGTGTGCGGGAATACACCGTGTCACCCGATTGTGATGTAGTTGAGATGTACGGAAGTGAGAGATCAATTTCAGGAAAGATATTTCCCTACAGGTCAGGCAGCTTTAATTTCTTTGAATTGATATGCTTAGTGAAATAGTTTACAAAGGCATTTTCTGAGGTGATTTTTAATTAAAGAAAACGGAAGAAAAAATTCAAGTTCTGTTTATGGAAATAAATTTGTTTACGAAATTTCTGCACATTAATTTCCCTACCCAAGGATTCCAGAAGCGGATTACTTTCAGGGATCAACTTCAAAGCTATATTAAAATGGACTTGATGACCTCTTATGGTTGCACTACACCAAATACGCGCCCATAGAAAACAGTGCAAAATCAGACCGAAATAGCGCCGCCTGTTGACTCTCGGGAAGGGATTGGCCTCCCTGTTTTTTTACTGCAAATTCAAGATTACGGCCACAAGATCACTTCTCGTTTCAATTTTATTGGGGTTAGCCAAGAAAACATTTTTACACGCCTTTCCCCGTAGATACTCTCCGAACAGTAGTAAAACTGTGCGCTCAACTCTGAAGCCACCCACCTCTATCCCAACATTGATGGGCCCGCAATTCGGGGCTTTTTGTGGAAGAAATGCCCAAACTAGAAACTACCACTGCTAAATTCGGATTTATAGAAATACTTCTATAATCCCTCCTGATTATGACATGTCTTATTGTAAAAACCCCGTCGGATCACAGGATATTAATGAAAACGCGAGTACAAATACAACGATTTGGTGGAATGCACCCTTATAATCATTCCCAAAAAGCACAAAATTAATGCCATTAGATTAGCCAAATAACACTCACCGCACAGTGAAACAAGTCCTATTGCGCAGTGCCAAACAACTGTCATTAAGCAGTGCCAAACAGGTCTCATTGCGAGTACCAAACAAGTCTCATTGCGCAGTGCCAAACAACTCTTATTGCGCAGCGCCAAACAACTCTCATTGCGCAGTGCCAAACAACTCTCATTGTGCAGTGCCAAACAACTCTCATTGCGCAATACCAAACAACTCTCATTGCGCAGTGCCAAACATCTCTTATCGCGCAGTGCCAAACAACTCTCGCCGTGCAGTATAATGTGGCCTGAATAGAACACCATAGTAATTGCCTCGTTTATTAATGGCAGTGGGTCATTTTGAAGCAAGATATGGGACGGAGAGAACCCCCCGCCTTTGTGTTGGTCATTGTTTGATGGGAATCTCAGGAATTCTTTACAGACTTCTGGGGAGATGTATTAGGTAACAATAGTCTAGAGTGTGTATAGGGATAGGACAGGTAAGGGGGTACCCCTCCGTCCCATATCTTGCCTGGTATACAGCGGGTTGTCTCATCGAGTCCCCTTGTGAAGTAATGTGACAAGGTGCATACATTGCTAAAGGCAATCATAATCTTGTTCCAGAGAATGAGCCTCGGCATGTACTCAATTTATCTTCGTGATTGGCTGAAAGTTTTCCCATCTGACCAGTTCAAGGTTCTCCGATTGGAGGATTGGCACGCCAACTGCACTAGCATACTTCCCAAATTGTATGACTTTCTACAGTTGAGTAAGTGAAAAATAACGACAATATCTATTACTGAAATAAATTACTTTCTTGCTAATAAAACGATTGCATAGTTAATAAAGCGAATATAGAAGTGTGCGTCCATGTTGCATGATTAATTATTCAGCGATCACGTTTCGAGAAATTGTCTTCATAAGGGAAAGGCTTCCTCATAAATTATAAACTACGAGAATCTCTGGGAGACTTAAGCCATGTATATTACGACCCGTATACGAGGCCAAAATAGAAGTACATTGTAAAACATCACAGGACGCTCTCAATGTTATTGCTTACACAGGGAGACTTGATAATTTAGAGATAGCGAGAATATGCAGTCAAAGGTCCTCCAACGTCAACCGGAGACAAGTTAAACCAATGCTTCAGAAAACCAGGCAGATACTGACCGATTTCTATCTGCCATCGAAAATCGATCTGGCGAATCTGTTACGAGATGACAGATATCTTTGGAATGACCGCATACGAGGAGTCCATCTATCCACTTTGCAAGCTGAGTTTTGAAGGAGACATGTAACAGGATTTCTATGACTTGAATACGGCTGGGAAACTTTCTTGTCCTGTTACTTCTGACTTCCCATCTCCTTTGGGGCAGTAAAAAGGGAAAAAGTCTATATCGGTTTCCGTGAATGAAACTTTCCATATTCATGAACTAAAACGTGATGTCAACCAAGGCAGAATAGTAGTAGCTCTCAAGTAGCTCTGTGTTCAAATGATAAAAGTTTTCTACATTTTCCTGGATTAAGTTCCACTTTTTTATCGTAAAGGAGCTTGTTTAGAAAATAGTTATGGCCAATAAAAATTTTGTCGGGGTAATTGTAAAGGACGAATTTTGTATTCATAAATTCTCTTTGAGTTGTGCCTTGTGCGACAAAAGAAAAATAACGCCTACCAAAATATACTGATCAAAGTATGTTCTAAGAATGCAACATTCGCCGCCTTCTTATCAATTTTGATGAAAAGAAGTATGTACATTTCGTTTGCGTTGTTGTAACACATACATGTAATAATGTGCATTAAAACCAAATTGAGCTAAGTGTCCACTGCATGTTTCCTTTAATGCAATTCATCTGGTGAATGCCCTCATATACATAACAACATTGATTTCATATTAATTATTGTCCAAAGAAATGTACATCACATGGCGTTGAACTTGTAATGTTACGGCTGACTTTTCCGAATGAGTTGCTACAGTTTTAATGGACTTTATTAAGTATAACTTCGATCACACTCAAACGGACACAGTTCGAGAAAGGATATTTTCTTTCCTCTCTTCCTCACCAGCGTATGGTCATCTTTGCTTGAGGCATTTCGTGATCACGAACATCTTTACCAAACTTATGATTTTTCAAAACTTGTAGTTCCATAGTTAATAAAAGCATTTTTACTTTCCTAGGAGCGCATACCATCAACTACCACATAAATTCAGCGGTGCGTTTTAGGTTAAACTTTACTATTACGCTGCAAAAAGGAAGCGAGCTATTTTACAGAATTCAATAGAAAAAAATTAAGCAAATACTTCAGACTTATAGATATTTTATAAAATATATACATTTACCATAATTTGTTGTAAATAAACTTTACATTCCACATGAGTAATTAGCGTAGACTTGGGACGTCAGTTTTGTGTACACAAAAATAAAAGCAAAAGTACCAAAACAGCATTTGAGTGCGCTCAGGACCTTAAAAAGTCAAACTTTCTTGAATGCCTGAATAGGGTTTGAAGTTGGCGTGATGACTGATTTTTGGAATCCTGACATCTGTTCGTTGCGTGTCGTTGATTTAGCACGGATTTCATATAGTTTTAGGGCTATGCAGGTTTTAGGCACTTGCTTTTTTTCTTTTTTTCCCCATTCAGCACACCATTTAAGGTCTCTATTTCAATCTCCTATTTCAACGGGTGGGAAAGCCTTCAACTTTGCCGGAAACGTCACATGTTTCTGTTGGCGGTGTTAAGAAATGGGGTATCAAGTTCGGCTAACACTTTGTCCCTGTTCAGTTTCCAGTCTGGATAGCGGAATGAGATGTTGTACCGGAGAGCCCAGCGAGCAAAGATGGCCTTCTCAGTCATAAAGCGGTGCCCACCACCCCTATCGGTCTCTGCCCGGCGGTAGGTTGAGCACTCGCGGCCGTTGTTGCTGTAGTAATGATAACGAAAGTCCCTTCTAGGGTTGTTCCTGTCAAAAATAGAGATGGACAGAACATTTTTGTCGAGTGGACACCCTCCCAACATTTTTCGTACAAACGTAACAAGGTCGTTAGGTGAGAATGTGTACCAACACAAAATTATATTCGTGAATAATGAGGAAGAGTACCGCAATTGGAATATTTTGTTGGGCCTATATAGTTTAGAGCGATTTCAGATCTTGAGGTGGTGGAAACTATTTACTGAAGTTGTGTTGTCTTGCCATCAGTCATCACCTTCTGGTTACTTTAAATCTCTATTCACAGAAAGGCATTCAGAGTTATCTTTTAAACAAATTGTATGAACATTCGTAGTTGCAAGAGGCTGTTCAAGATTTGACTGTTTTTTTTCATGGGCTTTTCGAATTCACCATAAAACTGATCAATATTATAATAAATTTACAGGCAATGGTATTACTGACATATATGATGTGATAGCGCAAGCCACAATCGTCATCTTTTCGTCAGTTCCTTGGTAATTGGATGAAGAATCTCTTCGATAATAGATGTGCTATTGTTAATAATCTTAACTACGACACTGTCAAGAGGCCTTTTATATTTGTAATTTGAGAGCAATGTAAGATCTTGCATCCGTGACAAGTCATTGTTTTACTACGGTTGTTTTGCCTTACCTTGGTAATGATTTGGTATTGTATCTTTCCCACCTACCGATTTCTAATTCTACGCATTCTTTACCTCCATTCAGAATCACGTGAGATTGTATTGTCTGGAATTTAGGCTAAGCCACATTTCAAAGAAAGGAATGCTATCTGCGCGCATATAAGGGCCACCACGCCCAAGCAAGTGTCGGTGTATTTCTGGTGTTTCACAGGAAGTATCGCCACTGTTATCGCGCATTTGGACCACGTTGTGGCCATCTTTTTACAATGACGGACGAATGTTCCATTGAAATTGACGCTGCTCCCTCAGAGGACGAAGCCCTGGTTACTGCTCAACTTAATGCAGAAATGGCTGAACTAACCCAAACTGCGGTGCCGAAGCAGAAGCGCAAACCCACGTCCTCACGCAAGCGCAAGGTAACTGTAGATGAACCTGATTTGTGCGACACGGTACACAATTTGCAGCACACACTAGCGAGTCTTACCGAAGCTTTTGCCCAAACGAGGCGCGTCTGCTTCTCATGGCCATCCGAGTGCCAACAACCTCGGCGGTGACATTCTGAACACAGCGGCGCTACTACCGGCTCGGCCTGAGCCTGAAAATGTTGAGCAACCAGGGGCCGATGCAGTCGCACCTGAAAGGGGCGATTATTACTCTGATGACGAGGTTGATAACCTGTTGAATCTTAATGCAGCCCAAACTGAGGGCACTAACATTGAGGATGATGATCTCCTCTCTGAAATGGCCGCACTCGTTGACAGTGATACTAAAGAGGGCCCTCCTATCAATGAGCAGTTGGCTAAAACGATCAACTCTTTGGCACGGGGGAAAACACAGCCAGAGAAACTAACTAAACAAATATTAAGTTGTATGATCGGCCAAAAAACTGCGAGAACCTTGCTTTGACCAAGGTGAATCCGGAAATTTGGGCCTTTCTAAAGCAAGCCACGAGAACGAGGGAGGGGAAATTCCAAAAGATACAACAGACCCTCGTGTGTGCGTCAATCGCGACTTCTAAGACGGCAGACCACCTGCTTCGGATGCGAAACGCAAAGACCGTGGCAGGAAATGTTCTCGATACTGCAGGACTTAGTAAGGGCCTAATTGACGCGGTGGTTATAATGGGTCATGCCACGGCGCTTCTCAATTTGCGCAGACGTGACTTTATTAGGCCGGACCTGAGCGCCCGTTACGCACCGCTGTGCTCTTCCCAGGTACCGGTTACTGACCTGCTGTTTGGCAATGATCTTGTCCAGTCGTGGTAAGCAATACAAGAAACGAATAAGATCAGTTCCCGGGTTTACGGTGCCGAATTTAGCTGGTGGTCTTGGACTAGGTATCGTGGTCGTCAACAACGACAGCCTTACTACAGGAGAGGCAATCTTACAGCCAACTTTGGCTACCAGAGACGAGTGCGTCAGAATAACGGTGTGAACCATGACAAGTTTACAGCAACGGCAGTTGCCAACACACAGAACCCTGTTGAAAAAGGGAGTAAGTACGCTAACTGTAATGTAATGCAGATTGCAGGTAGACTGCGCCATTTGTTTCTAACTGGAAAGCCATTACTTCGGACACATGGGTGCTGGACACCGTATCTCATTGTCGTATTGTATTTACCGAAACCCCGTATAAGCCCTGCCCTCCTAAACCTGTTCAATTTTCTGAATCCATGTCCAGCGTGGTAGACGAGGAAATCAGAGCGCTATTATTCAGTGTTCTCGCCGTAAGGGCCAATTCGTATCCACCATCTTTCTTAGACCAAAGAAAGATGGGTCTATGCGTACAATCATTAACCTGAAAGGCCTCAATGAATTCATTGCATACCATCATTTCCAGATGGAAACCTTTTAGTATGCCCTGACACTCGTTCGCCCTGATTGTTACCTGGCATCCTTGGACCTAAAGGATGCCTATTTCACAATACCCACAGCATGGGAAGATCAAAAGTACTTGAGATTCCAATGGCGACAAAAATTGTGGCAGTTTACCTGCTTATGTTTCGGGCTCACGAGTGCCCCTCGTATTTTGACAAAGGTCATGAAACCTGCAGTTGTTCACTCGGCAATTTGGGCCATGTCTCTGCCAACTACATCGAGGATTGACTACTCATTGGCGACACTGTAAAGGTGAATGCGAACAGAATATCCTCGCCCGATGTCGACTTACGTCTTCTTTAGGGTTTGTTATCAATGAGAAGGAATCTTGCCTCAACCCTACACATGAAGTGCAGTTCCTAAGGTTCATAAAAAATTCAACTCGTATGACTGTTCGTCTTCCTACCAAAAAGATTGAGCCAATTGTAACTTTATGCCGCTCCTTAGCCGGCCAAACACAACTGACTGTTCATTTTGTGGCTCTGGTCATTGGGGAATTGGTCTCTTGCTTTCCAGCAGTACCCCTAGGTCCACTTTTTAGAGGAATCTGGAAATTTGCAAAGATGCTGCACTCAAAGCAAATGGGGGCAATTTTCAAGCAAAATTATCTTTGACAACTGAAGCTCAAACCGAGTTATAGTGGTGGATCTCAAATTTGCTCACGGCATCTCGCCCTATATCACCGAAAGCAACCAGTTTACAGTTACAAGCCGATGCATCCAGCAAAGGTTGGGGGGCCTGTTGTCCCGAAGTTGATCTGAAAACTAACGGACATTGGACCAATAATAAGTCCAAGTTGCATATTAATTACCTTGAGCTGCTGGCAGCTGTCTATGGCCTTTCCTCGCTTGTTTAGCATTTGAAGGGTAAAACCATATCCCTACGCATGGATAATACAACAGCCGTATCTTGCATAAATCACATGGGTGGCTGTCATTCGTTGGAACTCAATTAGCTGACGAAGAGGATATGGTTGTGGTATGTAAAGCGTGACATATGGCTTGTTGCATGTTACATTCCTGGTATTAACAATACAATGGCCGACTTTTTATCACGGTCATACAATGGCAACTTGACCCTGCCGTTCAATCGCATAATGTCGGTTCTGGGTTTTAAGACCACCATTGATTTGTTTGCCTCTAGAGCTAACTACCAAGTCCATGCCTTTTCTATCGTGGCTCCAGACCCATCTGCGCTACTGGAGTGCTCATCTTCCCGTTCTGGAGAACACAACACTGGTTTCCACGGCTACTCCGCCTCTTGACAACAGAGCCCTTCATATTACCAGGTTCGTTGCACTGTTGCACCTACCACACGACCCGGGGCGTCGACACCCACTAGCAGCCAGCCTAGTTCTGTGTGCAGCACACTTGTCCGGCAATCGCTCACTGAGAAAGGACTTTCAAGCGACACAATCGAGATCATCTTGCAGTCCTGGAGAGTCGGTACACAGAAACAGTACAGCTCAGCAATACGCAAATGGTTACGTTTCTGTTCTGAACGGCAAGTCCATCCCCTTCGTCCCTCTGTGAACGCATGTTTAGTGTTTATGACCGAGCTGGTCAATAACGGAGTTAAGTACAGTATCATTAACACTGCAAGGTATGGTTTAGCGTCAATAATTTTTATGGACTGTAATATCACATTTGGCAGTCATCCACTGACTACGAGATTCATGCATGGGGTATACAACCTGAGACCACAGCTCCCGCGATACACTACCACGTGGGATGTGAGCATTTTACTTCGTTACCTTCGAAGTCTGGAACCCCTGAGTCGAATAAATTTACAACTCAGCTATAAACTGGTATCGCTTTGTGCACTGACGTCAGGTCAACGAGCTCAAACATTGTCTTTGCTTAGACTGGACTGTATGACAATTACACGAGAACCTGTTACGTTTGCAATTACAGATCGAATCAAAACATTTAGGGTCGGCAAGCCCCAGCCAAAGGTAGTTTTATCTATGCACCGTCCAGATAACAAATGGTGCATTGTTCGTACATTACTTGAGTATGTTAAACGCACGAAAGCTGTGCGAAACGGTAACCCTTAGCTTTTCTTACGATGTACACCTCCTCATAATGCAGTTAGTACACAGACTCTCAGTTGATGGCTGGAAAATGTTCTATCCCGCAGTGGAATTGATCCTACATCCACTTTTAAATCGCACAGCTTTAGATCAGCCTCAACATCTGCTGCTAAAGGGGGTGCCTGTCGACGTAATTCTACAAATGGCGGGAGGGACAAACGCAGTCACGTTTGCCAAGTTCTATAAGTAAGTAATACGTAAAGTAACCCCACAAAAGACGTTTGCGCACTCTGTCTTAGGTAAGACTGTTGAGTAAATAATAACAGTATTGTTTGGCCATGCCTTGACAGGAAAATGTAAATAAAATTAAATAAATGTTAAATACAAGTTAAAATATATTGTAAAGGACACCGGACAGGACCGTGCCTGTCTTAGGAAGACTAGCTCGAACCTTTTGTCGAGTCCGTGTTAAGAATTGTGCTTCGTTTATTGCTAGTTAAATCGTTTTTGATGTTGACTATTGTTCTAGAACTTGTGGGAAATAAAGCGATAACGCTTGGTTCCCCTACCCTGGCCTCTGCTTCCAGTGTAATTTGTACTACTTCGAAAACCTGACACTTGCTTGGGTGTGGTGGCCCTTAGGCCTATATGCGCGCCGATAGCATTCCTTTCTTTGAAATATGGCTTAGCCTAAATACCAGACAATACAATCTCACGTGATTCCTCATTGCGGTAAAGGATCGGCAAAATCCCTATCAAACTCCATTACTTTCGTTTAATTTGGGGACTATTACACATCTTTGCTTAAAAGAACAGCCCTGGTTGTTTCCTCCGCAATAATTTTCCCTCTCTGACTGCACTTTTGGGGAACGTTCGATAGAGGTCACTACATACGTACTATTAGCTACAATCAGTCACTTATCGGAAAGCCATAGTCAAGTTGGACTCAGCAGATGGAACCACAAAATATTGATCAAGTATTATAACCGCCGGTTCGTTTTTAACGAACCGACCTGGTTTACCAGGCTATTATTATATTAATAGGTAGACATGCGACGTGCATTTTCAATCATTGGTAATAAATTGTTATAAAAGTGTTATATAATTTTTTTCCACTGACAGTCAAATTTATTTCCCTTCCAAAGTAGCAAAAGAAAGCTCTTTCTGAGAGAGGTACTGTGCTTACGCGCAATAATCAGACGTCACCATGCCGTATACATGGGTTTCCTGACATATATCGACCGCAATCATGAGAGTAAACCAGCCTGTTGACAACCACGAGTTGGTCCCCCCTCTGTGAAAAGCAAGAATATTAGCATAAAAATATGAACGACAATTATTGTGAACAAAATAATAAAAGAACAGAACCGCTCATAGAGAAAGATGTTTCCTCTTGAATTCTTGGCTCGTCGACAGGGCGCTGTGGGAAGGGCTGATTGCTTTGCACTGTGATTGGCTACATTGCGCACGACCTGCGAACGCGAGGTTATCACTTCCTGTTCACTTTGAAGGGACATCATAAAAACAGAGAATAATGTTGAATTCAAGAGTTACAACAATAATTCACAGCTTGCTCCAAATCAGGAATATTATTAACGCCAGTGTTCCCGTCAAAAATTCACGTCTTGCTACCTTTTTCAAGTATGTAGAACAGTGACGACAACATCACCTAAAAACAACAAAAATCCCAGCAAATAAATAAATAAATAAATTAAAATAGCCAGCTAGCCATCTGACTGACTGACTGACAGACAGACAGACAGAAAGACTGACTGACTGACTGACTGACTAGAGTTAATAAAATACTTACATTGCAAATATGGGATGAATATTGGCTTAATAAATCCAGGAATTGTTGGTGATGGCAGATTGTTTGCGACTAGTAAGCAAGATGTAGTTTATGGTGTTCTATATACGACAAAATTGCGTCACGTCGTGCCGATTGCATTTTTATGCATAGAATGCGTTCCGATAAGACAACACGAGTACAAGGAAAAATTGGAACAAAAATCGCGACAAAATCAAAACGTGAAATTTTCTATGAAGATTGAAGTCAATATATACGACCGAAGATCTGAAGACGTGTTTTATACGCAAATATTGATGTCAATATTCAGTATTAAGGGGAGGTAGTGACTTTTGTCAAGAATATGGACAATATTCATGAACTGCAACATGCTCCTTCAAAATTAGCGATCATGCAACTCTTTATCTTTATTTACGTACATGTGAAGTCTAATTTACCTGTGACAGCAGTGTTTCCACGGGTCAACAAAATTTTTCCGAAAGAGAGTCCCAAATTTCTTGACATTTAATGGGTATTTCCCAAAATTTTCAAGAATGCTTCCTACACGCTATTTGCCGTTGTTTCTCACTGGCGAACATAAAAACATAGGTAAAACGAAGATCCACCATGCATACATGTACCCACTTAGTACCTGCTTGCTTTGAGAAAAACAAAGGGTACGGGGGAAGAAGGTTTTGTTTCTCTGATTGTATTTAATGGAAACACTGCTGTGATGATACTCGGGAGATGAGGAGACAAAATTGAATGACGTCCTTAAATGCTTAGACTCACAATGGCTGGCCCGTTTCTTTTGTGAACAGGGCAGAAGCTTCCCTCTCGCCCTCTACGGTTTGCCCGTGGAAGGTGGAGCCCGCTCTTAATCTCTTCGCTAAATTCAGCGCCTTCTCGAGGTACTTGCTTCGCCGAAACAGACCCCAGACCATAACCCTACTGCCGGGCGGCAGCTCTTCGGCTTTCAACCCAATCATGAAGAAGTTCAGGACTTGTAGAGTGGTTCGGTTGCCCACGTCGTTTTGGTATCCTCGTACCGGTGCCATATTCATCCTGATGACGCAGGAGTGACTGTCGATTTCATTACCCGCCCCTTTGCCGAGAAGATACCCTGAACTCGACACTAGGGCGCATGAAGAACACCTTAAAGTGACTGCCTGCGAAATAAAAAAAAAATTGGCCATCTACACAGGGTCCAACCATCTCAGCTACTGTATGGCTTTTTTAATCTAGGGAATTTGTTTAATGTACTAATATGCCGTCCTTACGCAAATCCAAGATCATCACAATACACTGCAAAATCGTTTCATTGAACATACCGGTATAACCAAAACTGCAGTTAAGCATGTTTTTTGGGGGGTGATTTTCATTTCTCATGAAATGAAAATGATTTGCTCCGTAATTCACTTTGACGGCTGGATGATTCACTTTCTAATATTAGTGATATAAAGACTGTTCCTATACTGCCGACCACAGTTTTTTTCAAACCCCTATAGGCCCATTGGTCCTGATTAGATCTTAGCAAGATATGGCTTTTTGCAGTGAGTCGTTGTGTGTCAATCTTTGTAGGCGAACAATTCCAAACTGTTTTGCAGTTTTCTTGAATAAGTCAGACACGTTCGCATGACTTAAGAACTCTTTTTTTCCTGTAACAAATATTACTAAATCAAGTTACTGGTAGTTATCACTACCTGCAGTGCGACTCACTCATCAAAAGTTATAGGAACTTTGTTTCGACGTTATTTCAAAGTGCACAAAGTGCAACAAAAGTTGATTCACCAAGCAGAGGAACTTGGAAGCTATATGGATGTTAGTGATTAACCTCACCTCATTGTCCAGCAGTGACCTATAATGTCGAATGGCACCGCCCACTGGCGGCAGGGTTGAATTAATGTACTGGAGGTACGGGTGCTTCACGGTCGTTTTCTCTCGTGGCGCGAACACCAAAATAGTCAGGTAGAAGGAACCAACAGAAGACAGCACCACCGAACCCAAGAAACACGCTGCTAGTTTCCGCATGGTTTTAGGTGGGCAGCTGCAAAACCGAATGAAACTAGCACTGCTCGTGGGGTGTGTTTCTGTTGCTCGCTCATTCCTTTATACTCTATAGTCCACGTTGAGATTATACAGGTTAACATGATTGTGTTTTGTTTCCCTTGCCGATTCTTTCTCCTTTCAAACAGTAACCCAATTTCTTGCCTAACCTTAAAATTTATTTGAAAAGAGTCGTCTCCATTGTTCCCGCCAAGAAATGTTGATCAAACAAGCGAGTCCTTTCCCCCCGTTCATTTCCTCCGAGGACTCGTCTGTTTGACACGATTTCAATACACATGTACCATGTGTGTAGGGGACTGGGCCCTACTTGAATTTGTAACTAATTTATGAAAGTCCTAAATAATCCATTACAGTGATAACATCGTAATTGAGATTAGTTTCTCATAAACATGGCCAAGGTCGACGTTTCAGTTTTGGACTTCCGCACTACATAATTATTACAGCAAAACTCTTACACACGTAGTGATGTGACAAACCTTTCAATTTGCGAGATCCTTCACGAACCCCCAAACAACTGGCAACTTCCATCACACAGTAGGCCTACGCTTGAATACATAAGCCTACCAGTCGTCATTCTTCAACTCGTTACCACAGTAGGGAAATGTTCAGTGCCGTCCATCTCATTGTGCATAAATGAACATAAAGTGGCCTACAACTTAAAAGGTATGTTAAAACCTGTTTCCTGGACTACAACACATTGGTGCTAAACGGCTTGATGGTTTGCTTTTTTCCTGCATTTGGTACAATAAACACCTACACAACGATGCGTTCAAAGTCCAGCCTTCGACCCTTATCTTTTTGTCTTCCGAAACGATGGGATATGGCCAGGAACAAGCACGTAAGTCATGATAACAACTGGCTAGCAGCTGCAGCAACTTCCCGTAGAGGCATGCGTTACTGCTAGCCGCAGCCACGACTTTCAGTTTGCCGTCCTATGGCTGAGCATATTTTATGCTCTTGCCGACTCGACCCATCGCTGAGCGAATCAAATTAGTACGGAAGCATATAAAGGCCACTTCCTTTTTTTTTCTTGAGTTACTGTCTCGCCACGGCAAAATCCCCCTCGGCGACTTACAGTCTCTCTGCGGTGACTCGCCATCTCGCAACGGCGAGTTAATCGTTACTCGCCGTGGCGAGTAAAAGATCTTGCCGCGGCGTACAATTGATACGCAGCTTCAGCGAGTATTTCGGTAGTTCCTTCAAGATTCAAGAAGACATTCATTCCATACTCTTAAAAAAAATTGCGTTGATAATTAAGGGAACAGGATACATGTACATTGAAACTGACAGAATGGATAAGCTTAAGGAAATAAATCAGAAATTAAAGAAACTTGGTACACTGAAATTAGCAAACAGGATGTAAATAACTTTTTTTCAGATACATGTACTCAATGAAAAAAAATAAAGAACATTAAAATTTATGATAAGATAAAGAAACATTGTCCATGTACAAATGAGAAAAGAAAAGAGCATGAGGCTGTTGAATAAGCAGAGTCTTAAGACAGCAAAAAGCAAGCCCTTAAGACAAAAGACGTAACAAGAACAACAACACAAACAACTACGAGACAAAAGCACAGGACGGACAAGACATAAAAGACATGACAACAGCTGACGGCAACAAGTTACAAAACTTGAAAGAGTTGATTTGATAAAAATCGTTCTGCCGCCGTTGATGAGGGGTAGACTGGTTTTAATTTTCCTTCATTTTTTCAAGTACATATGAACTTAGTCCTTAGTCCTATTAAGTGTGCCATCGTTTTCAAATGTACCCTCGGGGTGGAAAGCAATGGAGGTTGATTTTAATATTGAATGCTTAGAACAAGAGGAGATGTTACATTTCAACAAAGCTTGGTTTCCATTATGAAATAAAACAAAAGAAATTTCATTTGGGGTGCAAATTTAAATTCAAACGAGGGGCACTGACGGCGGAAGCGGGGAGGAGGCAGGTGGCAATTGCCCCCCCCTTTTTCAAGGGGGGGGGCTCCCCCAATTTTCGCAGGTCCTATAATATTGGTTGGGGCTCAATGGATTGAGCTATTAATGGCTGATGCCTGATGGTCTAACAACTCCCCCCCCCCCACTTTGAAAATCGTTCCGCAGCCGGTGATTACGGGTAGACTGGCTTTAATTTCCTACATTTTTTCAAGTATATTTGAACTTTTTGAACAATTGAAAATTATTTCAATCTATAGTAGTTATATGGAAAACCAAAACAGTACCTTTACAAGTGCAACGAAGGAAATGCCTCACAGCTTTAGACGCCCAAGGTACTTCAGTACCCTAATCCTGCATATACATTCAGTGCACACATGCATCATGCGCACCGGGAAGTGTCGACCAGTGTTCAAATGTTAAAATGAACTTCCGCAAATAAGCATTCAACAAAAAGACGTTGTTTTTGCCCTTCTCAGCACCCTTCGCTTGCTGGTTTGTGTCGAGTTAACGCATGGGTGTGAGGTCAAAGAGCCTGGGGATTGCAATCCAGTTGATGATAAAAATGTGTTGGTGTCTTTTGTCACCTTCAGTTCATTTTCGTTTTGCCTGATAAAATCTCCAATATCATAGCAAATTTTAATGTTAAAATGATATCAACATCGAAGATTGGTCTCAAATGGCAACATACGTTGGCTTATGCATGGTTTTTTCTCGAGCAAATTGATAATTTGCATACTATTTCATTTCTGTTTTTCATTTCTTTGGCTATTTTCTTTTTCTTTTTTTTTTCGTTCTTTTCATTGAAAAGGCATCGTAATCCTTTCAACGAATAGTCAACGTGCATGGTCTCCCCCACTTTCGAATATGGAAATTCACACCCCCATATGAAATTTCTTTTGTGTCAAGCTTTGTTGAAATACATAATCTCTATTAATTAAAGCAATCTGAAATCCAGTCTCGCTGCATCCCACCCTGATGATACATCTGAGAACGACGACACGCTAAATAGGATTTATGAAACTACTGCAGAAAGAGATTCCTGTCCCCCTGATCTGGAAGAATCTCTTTGGTCGCCTTGGTTAAAATAGCCATGGATCCAGCATCATTCAGTGGACGAGAAATCGTGCTGGAGCTTGTCAAGGGGCAGGGGTAGTCGTGAACGTGAACGTGAACGTAAACGTGAACGATTTCTCATAAACTAATCACGACTTATCAGACTGCGCCGCAGGACAAGACAACGTCACAAGGTAGAGTCAGGGTGCATTGGCCTGTACCTGGGCACTGACTTAAATTTGAATGTGAATGGAAGACGATACCATTACTTGGATCAGACTGCACCACAGGCAATCTAATACCAGGCACGAAATGGGACAGAGGGGTACCCCCCCCCAACAAGTCCAATCCCTATACACACTCCAACCTATTGTCACTTAACACATCCCTCTATGGAATTCCATATCTGCCGTCGGCCGTCGCCCGTCGTCCGTCGCATTTTGCTTTTTGTTGTGTCCCAATTCTGCCATTAACCAGTTCCAAACATGCCATTTTCCGTCGTGCGTCGCCCATCAAATGGGTTGCATAGGACCTGCAAAAGCCGGGGTTTAACAAATGACAATGTTATGATTCCATTCACTTCTAAAGATCTTTTCCGAATAAGGCAAGTACACATCCCACCTGCAAAGCATATACTAGTCACATAATTAATTCCAATAATGCTAGACTACCCCTGCCCCTTGACAAGAAAATATCGCCTCTCTGAGAATTCAACCAAGTGTTTTTTGAGGAAAAACATTTTCAACAAAAATGTTCCGGCCAACTTATCCACAGTGTTATTCTAATTTGCATACTCTAAAAATGTACCGACTTGTTTTCATCAAATTCCAGGAAGAAATCTGCCAACCGATACAGATATTCCATCTTGTCCTCTCAATTTCACCTGGACATCCAGAAATACTAGACGTGCTGTGGATAACAAACTGTTTATTAAATGTATTGTTGGGGGCAATTACCACTTGGTTTAAGTTCCAGAAAATATGACGTGTTGCTTTTTGTGGGCGTGTATGCCATGGTGGATAGACCAATGAGAACAAGTTGTCCAGCACATCAGCATTATTTATGGGCTAACAAGTAACGTTACTGTTTCAAAGACTTCTGTGAGCCAACCTGCAACTAAAGTCATGTCTAATTTGGAGTATACAGCAGATTTTATGATAGGTATACCGGCCCTC